CAGGAATAGTTGCCTGTTTCGTTTATTACAGTATATTCAGTGCATAGGTAGAATAGTATCTGATACACAATAGGTACTCACTGAATATTTGTCGAATTAGGAAGGAAACTGTATTCTAACCTTTAAACTGCAATTTTGAAAGTGGTAAGTTTAGGGAAAGTGAACTATTTTGAAGTGGTTAGCAACATAACAGAAGAGGGGTCTACATAGACATTAGAACACTAGTGCTTTTTTCCTAAAGCAGTTTGCACCAGGTAGTGGGTGTCTCCCTCCTGTTGCCAGTTTAGCTACCCTTTCTCCCTCTTCTTCTTCCTCTATATCTCCTATGACTGTACTTTACCCACTTAACACAAAATGTGATTACTTGTGATAGACACCCACACTGACAGATCCATATCCATGTTTTCAGAAGTCTTTTTCTTTATTTATTTACTGAGAGAAGCATCCCAATAGGGCATGCACAGCATAATCTGCTTCCAGTCTCAGCTGGCCCAGACCAAGAGCACATGCATATGGCCCAGGTGTGCTCAGGTCCAGGGACATGAACCCATGACCCTTCGCATATGGGTCCAATTGCATTACCACTCACTCCACCACCACTTGGGCCTCAGAAGCTTTTGATCAACTCTCTAGACTACACCATCAGAATCTTACTTTTTGAGCTTTTTCCGTTTCTGAATAAGCAACTCTTCATTGCATTGAAATAGCAGGGTATAGTGTGAGATAAATACTCGAAGGCGCTGAACACACACCAGGAGTAGGTAATAGTCAGGGTGTTCCTGTTCTGTGAACTTCAAGACATTCTGGATGGAAGAAAAAAGGAAGAAGCATTGCATAACAGTGAAAAGTTGTTATTGTTGGGACCAGCAGTTAGCATAATGGCTGTGTCGCTGGACTCCTGTGTAGTCGACCGCGGTTCGTGTCCCGGACCCGGTGGCTTAAAACTCACATCGAGCATGTGTGCGTGCGTGCCCAAGATCCCGGGAGGAGAACGGAGGAGAAGGGATTGTGGCGCGGCCATCCCCTCTGGGGGGTGATTTCTCGCTTTCTGTTTCTCTGTCTCTGTCTGTCTGGCAAGCGCATGCACCCTATAGCAAAAACCTCTCCAAAAAAAACAAAACAAAAAAGTTGTTATTGTTGTTGGATTTTTTGTTGTCGTTGTTGGTCTCTTTAGCTTACCTTGATCAGTTCTGAAAGTTTGGTAGCCATTTAATCAAAACAACCAACCAACCACAATACATATAGCCCATCAACTTACAAGCCAAAGGTCAGACTTGAAGGAAAATAAGTCACTATTGTTGATGTTTGAGTTGCATGTGATCAAAAAATTCCATCTAAAAGTCAGTAGATGGTGTGGAGGTTAAGGTGCTGGATCCCACATGGCCAGCTTCACAATTCGAGTTCTGAACTCAGGGATTTGAGAATAATGCCAGGTGTGTGTCTGTGCATGCCCAAAACCCTGTGAGAAGAATACAGAAGGTGTTGTGGAGTAGCCAGCCCCTTGGGGGCAGTGATTTCTCACTTTCCTTTTCTGTCTCTCTTGGTGTCTTTCTCTGGCGAGTGCACACATTCTGTAACAACAACAACAAGAGGATCCCCTAACTAGGTTTCTGAAGTACCATTCTGGAGACATTCTAATGCTCACCATCTACAAATGATGACTAACTCAAACAAGTCAGGCTAGTGATAAGACTGTTGGATATCAAGGCAGGCCAGGCTGGGCAGGTGTTCATGATCAAGCTTGGTCTGGCGGTCCCTTCTATTACATTGTCTACTATGCTATGGTGCAACATGACAGGGACTTAGATTTGGGAAACTGAACATTATTTTTTTCTAGTGGGCGTGTGCATTTGTGGGAGGGGAGGAGAGAGAGAGAAAGGAAGGAGGGAAGGAGAGGAAATGAAAAAGGAAGAAGAAAAAAAGAAAGAAAGGGAAAATAAGAAGATATTCCCCATGGAGGATAGCCTTACCATAATCCCTTCTCCTCCACTTCTCCTTTAAGGATTTTGGGCACACACACACACACACACACACACACACATGCCCAGAGTGATATTCAAGTCACTGGGTCCAGGATTCAAATTGCACATTTGACCATGTGGATCCAGTCACTTTAAGTACCATGCCACTGGCTGGCGTAAGGAAAGCTAACAATTACTGAGGACTTATTGTTGCCAGGCACCGAGCTCTCCACACATATGAGAGGAAAAATGGAATTAAAGTACAAGCTTATTTTGGTGCAAAAAATTTGAAATCTAAGTATAATTTTTTTAAAAATACATATTTCTAGAATTTTTAAAAGCATTTATTTATTTATATATGTATGTTATTTATTTATTTACGTATGTTATATTTTTTATGGTATGTTATTTATTTATTTACGTATGTTATATATGTTATGAAGTAAACCAGTCCAGGAATTGAACTGTGGTTGGTCATGGCTTTAACCACTTTAACCACAGTGCTTTAACCACTACATTAGCTGCTGGCTCCTCCAAGAACTTTTTTTTTTTCAAGAACTTTTTTTTTTTTTTGGAGAGGTTTTTGCTATAGGTCAAGTGTGCTCGCCAGAAAGACGGAGAGAAACAGAGACAGAAAGCTAGAAATCACCCCCCAGGGGGGATGGCCACACTGCAATCCCTTCTCCTTCATTCTCCTCTTGGGATCTTGGGCATGCACCACATGCGCCCAGCATGAGTTTAAGCCACCAGATCTGGGACTCGAACCGCGATCAGCTACATGGGAGTCCAACAACGTAGCCATTATGCCAACTACCGGTCCCAATCTCATTTAATTTTTAACACAACCCAATTAGATAGGTACAATTTTTTAAAAAAGAATTATTCATTTAACTTTATTTGTTATTTTTTTAAAATTTGACCAAAGAGAGAAAGGGAAAGTGAGAAAGCAAGTTGCCAGGTCTGGGATTCAAACTATGGTTGTCCATGTGGGAGTCGAGCATCTTAACCACCACACCATCTGCCAGCCTCAGATAGGTACAATTATTACCTCTATTTCACAGATAAGGAAATCAAGGTATAGAGAATTTAAAAGATCATATACCTAGTGAATAATGGAAAGAGAATTTTAATTGAAATCAGACAGTAGAAGCCAGGCTTATCTACCACACTCTATTGCTTGCAAGACCTGGGTTTCAGTCCTAGTTTTTTCACCTACTGGGTATGTTAACATGGGCAAATTACTTAAATTCTTTGGGCCTCCATTTCCTCTTCTACAAAAATGGTCACAATGGTACCTATTTCATGGGTTGTTGAAAAAATTAAATAATTATTGTGAAACTACACCTTTAAAATTTAAAGCCATATACAATTGAAAGTTTTTTGTTTTGTTTTGTTTTTAGAGAGATTTTTGCTATAAGACACATGCGCTTACCAGAGAGACAGAGAGAGATAGGGAGACAGAAAGCAAGAAATCACCCCCAGAGGGGATGGCCACACTACAATCCCTTCTCCTCCATTCTCCTCTTGGGATTTTGGGCATGCACACACACATGCCTGGTGTGAGATTTAAGACACCAGGTCCAGGACTCACCTGCAGTCAACTATATGGGAGTCCAGCAATGTAACCATTATGTCATCTGCTGGTCCCATTATATGTGTGTGTGTGTGTTTGCTATAGGATGTGTGCGCTCGTCAGAGAGACAAAGCAAGAAATCACTCCCCAGTGGGAATGGCCATGTCACAATCCCTTCTTCGTTCTCCTTTCAGGACTTTGGGCATACACACACACGTGCCCAGTGTGAGTTTCAAGCCACTAAGTCTGGGACTCAAACCTCGGTAAGCCATGTGGAAGTCCAGTGACATAACCATTATGCTATCCTCTGGTCCCTAAGTTTTTTTATTTATTTTTTATTTTTATTTTTTCCAATATGGATACTGGGTCACTTCTATCTGAGATTAATCCCAGGCGTTTTTAAAAAGCTTCAGTTGATTACTTCAGAACATCAGTCAGCAGTTAGACCAGAACAGGTGGGAGTGGGAAGCAGAGGGAGTGTGGGGGTGATGAGTCTCTCCCCCAACTCTACTTCCTTCAAGACGCAAGTCCTATGGGAAAATCGTATGAAATCAGCAGCTCATATTCTAGAATATTGGACCCAAGTCAGAGAAGGTAGGGGAGCAGTTAAGTGGGCAGCTCAGATAGAAATGTAGTAGCTAGGGGATGGCATTTAGATAGTGGTACAAAGCGGGACAGACTGGATAAGGTGCTCAGAATCTAGCAGCAATGGTTGTAGAAAGATCCTGGATCAGCAGAGGAGGAATTGCTGATAAATAAAGATAGAAATTCAAAGGAATGCACCATGAGCCGAAATTTTTTGGAGAAAGTTTAGCTCATGCCATAATTTATGATGGGCTACGGGGTAATCATAACAATCCGAACCACATAAACATTTCTCAGAAATATTAATAATTCCCTGAGCTTTTACAGTAGGAAGCCAAAAGCAAGCCAGAATAGTTTTTCATGAGAATCAGTTCAGTGGGGGAGCAGTTAAGTGGGCAGCTCAGATAGAAATGTAGTAGCTAGGGGATGGCATTTAGATAGTGGTACAAAGCGGGACAGACTGGATAAGGTGCTCAGAATCTAGCAGCAATGGTTGTAGAAAGATCCTGGATCAGCAGAGGAGGAATTGCTGATAAATAAAGATAGAAATTCAAAGGAATGCACCATGAGCCGAAATTTTTTGGAGAAAGTTTAGCTCATGCCATAATTTATGATGGGCTACGGGGTAATCATAACAATCCGAACCACATAAACATTTCTCAGAAATATTAATAATTCCCTAAGTTTTACAATAAGGAAGCCAAAAGCAAGCCAGAATAGTTTTTCATGAGAATCAGTTCAGTGGCTAGCCCAGCCGCCGCCTACCTGCAGGTGGATTAGATATTCAGGGATGCGCTGGACTATGTGAAAAAACAGTGTGTAGATGTCAGATTTAATCTCTTCATCTCCCTGAATGAAAGAAACGTGGAGTTACTCTTCAGCGTCTAGTTCTAGAAGCGGAACCCCAGAATCAGTCCCAGCAGAGCAGAAAGGGTGTGCTCCCACAGCAGTTCCTCCCAGAGATTCTCGTGAAACACTGATCTCTCAGTGGTGAGACTGCATAGTCAGGGACACGTATGATGACAGAACTCTTCTCCAGTAGGAGCATGTACTATGCTTCTCTTAAATGTACCCAAATTTCCAAACTACCCTCCACCCATCCCCTCCTCAGTCTTAGCGCAGTGCTAGACAGAAATGGGCACTCAGTAAATTATATTTGAGTTGGATGAATCCATTAAGGTTCTCCAGCAAGTGATCATTACAATGAATTACTAATGGGCTGTAAGGCTGGAATGGCGCCTCATGAGTGGGGAAAGGAGTGGGGTTATAAACTGGTCAGTAACCTGGCAGCAGAAAATGTATCCGTCTTTCTCCATATCCCTTCCCTTTCCTTCTCTTCCTTTTCCTTTCCCAGATATCTCATGAATGCTAATGTGGTAGGCATTACACAGGGTTTGGAGTAGGGGAGGGGGTTCAAAACAGAAAATTAATTAGACAAGCCATTTATCTGTTGTGAGACTTGTTTCACTCTCAGCTTTGGGGCTTATGATACTGGTTTTTGCTATTGAGCTAAAATAACTCAAGTTGTTACATAAATATAGGTATTAATTGAGCACCTAATATAGCACTGTAGTACCAACACTTAAAGCAACATGACTAGAGTCACTTTATACAATCTTATAAACTGACCACAAAAGATGATTTGGGTTTAATACTTAGAGTCAAATCTTCTGAGCCAAGGGGGAAAAAAAAGCACTACATATAGAATAGAAGATGCAGCCTGAAGACCTCTACTTAGAATACTTATTTATTAGTTGTCAGGTAAGTCGTGACATGTTTTTCCATGCAAAAAGTGTCATGACTTTCCCAACAACCCAGTAGTTAGTCTATAGTTCCAATAAAATGGAGCAAAGGTTGGTAAGGGAGGGCAAGGGCCAGGGAAATGCACGGATCCTTGAGTGGGCTCCTTTCCAGATAGGAGGGCCAGTGGCTCTGTTCAGGCCAATCCTGGCAAATAATCTCAGAGTACATGAGTTTTCCTGACCAGGGTGGGTGAGCAACCTCACAGAGAGGGCCTTGGGACAGCACACGTGTAGAGTTAACTTACCTCCTTCAGAACAACAACATGAACCAATGAGATGCATTCAGGCAGGTCCCTCAGGTAGGCAACATAATAATCCAAGAAATTATTCTTTAAAACAAACAAAAAAATGCATGGTAAGAATCTGTAAACAAGAATTTTTAAAAGATTTATTTACTTATTTTCATTTATTATTATTATTATTTTTTTTTTCCTTTTTCAGTTTACTATAGGGAGACAGAGAGAGAGAGAGAAAGCAAGCTGCCAAGTCTGGGACTCAAACCACAGTCAGCCACGTGGGAATCCAGCACCTCAACCACCATGCCACCTGCTGGCTCTAGGAAAGATAATATTTTTATAGAGCTATGTATATTGAAAAGGAGTACTTTGCAGGAGTACTTTGCAGCAGTTAGCGTAATGGCTATGTCGCTGGACTCCCACGTAGTCGACTGCGGTTCGTGTCCCGGACCCGGTGGCTTAAAACTCACGCCGGGCGCGTGTGCGTGCGTGCCCAAGATCCTGAGAGGAGAATGGAGGAGAAGGGATTGCGGCGTGACCATCCCCCCTGGGGGGTGATTTCTCGCTTTCTGTCTCTATGTCTCTGTCTGTCTGGCGAGCGCACGCGCCCTACAGTGAAAATCTCTCCAAAAAAAAAAAAAAGGAGTACTTTGCAGAGATTATCATATTAATTTAATATATCCCTTCAGAGCTTTGGGGAATTTTTATTCCGCTTTTTAAAAAATCTTTTTAGTTTTAAGGTAAACATGCCTAAAGCTTGAGAACCAAAACTCAAAAGCTCCCTTTGAATGACAGAAAGTGAAATAATAAACCAAGGGAGGAGGGAGGAGCAAATAAACCAAAAAAGTATTTTAAAATTTTTAAATGATTAAAATGCATATTTTGTTTTTATAGTTCATTTTTACTTTAATCATCCACATTCAAATAGGGAACTTCCTCCAACTGACCTCATCTGATCTAGACCAGTGGTTCTCAACACTTTCCATTATTGCCTATTTCTGCTCATTTTGTATCCACCTATATAATATTCTCCCAGGAAAACCATTCTCAACTTCCAAAGTTATGTCCTCATAGTTAGAATAACTTTCAGTCCTAGAGAGCATACTGAATACAAATCAGTAACTGAAATGAGAGGGATAGCATTAAATCCACTCTCATCCACACAAGTGAGCAATCTGTAATCTGTGTATTGCTACCCATGGTTGAGGATCATTGATAACACAGAGACTGACCGCAGGCAAAAATTTGGCTTGCCGACCAGTTTTAATTAACCCACATGATATTTTAAAAATAAGAAAATTCCCCCCCCCCAAAAAAAGAAAATTTCACACAAAAGTCTAGATTCCCAGATTTTCTTAAATATCGCAAGTGCTTTTCTTTCTGTGTGATTATTGAATAGAACTGAGGGGCTATTCCTTGTAGAGAAGTGGACAAGGTGTTTCACCTCGGCAGCTTCCTCCCAGGCTTTATTGTATTCAGCTAATTTCACTCACTTACGTTACTATCCAGCCACGCGGGCATTTGAGTTTGCCACTTCTAACCTGGGTCATATTTTCTTTGTAGAGATTTCAAAACTTAGCACTTTCTCCAAAGAAATGAAAACAAAACACATTCAAGATAAGAAGCCACCTGTCACACTTTTTTAATTTCTAAAGAATTGAAGTTGTGTGTGAAAATATACACATATAAGGAGTCTTCAAAGAGTTCAAGGGAGGCCAGCGGATGGCATAATGGTTACATTGCTGGACTCCCACATTATCGACTGCAGTTCGAGTACTGGACCTGACCACTTAAAAAAACGCATGCTAGGTGTGTGTGTGTGCATGCATGCCCAAAATCCTATAGAGAAGAATGGAAGAGAAGGGATTGTGCGTAGCCATTCCCCTAGGGGTGATTTCTTGCTTTCTGTCTCTCTGTCTCTCCAGTGAGTGCACATGCCCTGTAGTAAAAATCTCTCTTAAAAAAAAAAAAAAAGAAAGGACCAGCAGTTAGCATAATGGCTATGTCCCTCACACCGGGCACATGTGTGTGTGTGCCCAAGAGCCTGAGAGGAGAATGGAGAAGGGATTGCGGCGTGGCCATCCTCCCTGAGGGGTGATTTCTCACTTTCTATCTCTGTCTCTCTCTTTCTGGTGAGCACACATGCCCTATAGTAAAAACCTCTTCAAAAAAAAAAAAGAAAAAGAATTCAAGGAAAGTGTATATGATGAAAAGAAAGTAGGCACAGATTTGAAGTATCTTCATATAGACAAACCCTCATATATTTATTTTTATGTATATATGAATATATATGTGCATAGCACACATCTACATACACATGCATATTCAGTGAAGGCAGTTCCAGTACAGTGAGAATTTTTAAACTAGAAGTTTGAAGACCTAGCAGGGCTCCAGTCACCCATCTCCAACTACCTAGCTAGCTGAGTGATTTCATAAAAGTCTTTTTTTTGTTTTCTTTTTTGCTATGAGGTGTGTGTGCTAGCCAGAGACAGGCAGTGACACAGAAAGAGAGAAGGAAAGTGAGAAAGGCATCCCTAGGGGACAGAGGGGACACATCACATTCCCTCCTCCTTTCTCCTCCTGGGATTTTAAGCATGTATGCACACGTACCTGGCATGTTTTTCAAGCCACTGGTCTGGGATTCAAACTGCGCAGTCAGCCATATGGGAGCTGCCTTAACCACAGTGCCACCAGCTGGCCCCATGAAAGTCTTAATTTCTCTGAACTCAATCCATTATTTGTAGAATGAGGAAGTTAAACTAGATCATAATGGTACCTCCAGCTCAGAAATTCACTGATTCTAGATTCTCTGTTAAGAGAAGCAGTTGATGGGCCAGCAGGTGGCATGGAGAAGGGATTGCAGTAACACCATCCCCACCCCCAGGGACGTGTAATTTCTCATTTTTTCTCTGTCTCCAGACAGTGCATGTATCCCATAGCAAACTGGGGACAAAAACAAAAGTGAGCAGTTGAGGGCTGGCCTTGTAACACCGGGGTTACTCCCGGCCCTGGTGGCAACACACCGGGCATGTAGGAGCCCAGAATCCTAATGGTATGAGACCAGGCTTCACTGGGGGGGGGTATTCTCTCTGTCTGTCTCTGTCTCTCATGTATGCAGATGCACTCTATTATAATTTAAAACTAAGAAAGAAAAAGAGAAGCAGCCAAATGAGACACATATCCGTGTAATTAAACGTTTTAGGGGAGGTTCCTTACCTCATCATTTGTTAACTTGAGGAATAAATCTCCCAGGACTCCTTGGCGTGGCCACTTCAGGACCCTTTCCTGCAGTGCATGAAGCAAATCCAGGTGCTGCTGGACAAGGTACCGTAAAGAGCCAGGGAACAGGCTTGAAACAGAACAGAGAGAGAATCACACAAGCCACATGGAGAGAAGAGACCCTACAAGAATACAGGCAGCAAGCCCCGTTTTCCTAGTAACCCAAAACACTCTGAGTCATGGGCTGCATTTAGTACTTTTCTTTTAGGACTTGTCATCATAGACCACACAGCAGATATCCTCAAACTAGCAAGACCCTTTTACTAATGGCCCCTAAACAAATGTACATTGAACTATTAAAGAGAGTTCCACTTGAACCGCCTTTAAAAAAAAATCTTTATTTAATTTCATTTGTTGTTATTATTTATTTTTTAATTTGACCAAAGAGACAGAGAGAGTGTGAGAGAGAAGAAAGTAAGAAAGCAAGTCGCCAGGTCTGGGACTCGAACTGCAGCTAGCCATGTGAGAGTCTAGCACCTCAGCCACCATGGCACCTGCTGCCCCTGAATCACTGTTTTGTTTTTGGTTTTGAGAGTTGGTTTTTTTTGCTATAGGGCACGTGTGCTCACCAAAAAGACAGAGAGAGACAGAGAGACAGGAAGTGAGAAATCACCCCCCCTCCCCCCCAGGAAGGATGGCCACGCTGCAATCCCTTCTCCTCCATTCTCCTCTCGGGATCTTGGGCATGCATGCACACGTGTACCACGTGAGTTTAAGCCACCAGGTCTGGGACTCGAACCATGGTTAACTACATGGGAGTCCAGCGACGTAGCCATTTCACCATCTGCTAGTCCTGTGAACTACCTTCTTAAAGCTAACTTGAAACACGCTCATTTATACGATGCTCAGTGGAAATTCTAAGGGACATCTTTTTCATTGTTTTAAAGTTATTCTCATTTGATGCACCAAATAATCTATTCTAATTAGTGCATAGATGACAGCACTGAAGGTAACACATGGTCATTCATTCTTAGCTATTAGGTATGGAGTCTGGTACTTTGCTACTTAGGTAGTCAAGACAATTTGTTTAACGCTGATAACTAGAAGCTCAGGGGGTAGGGGTATGAGGGACTTCCTTCCATTCCTAAGAGGGATGCTGGGTAAGGACAGGGTTGCGCCCAGGGAGGCTGCAGACCAGGACTGGCACTATGCCCCGAAGTGTCCTACCCTCACATGTCTCTCCTTTACCTCTCAATGTGCCTCAGTTTTTCAGAGACAAGGAAGGGAGGAAGAGAGAAGTCAGAAAAGAGTCAAGTGGAGAGGAAAAATAGGAAGCGTCACAGAGGAGATGAAGGAGCACTGGATGCAGCAGAGTGGGGTGATCAGGGTCTAGAGGGATGAGGAGAAACAGGAGGCACGTTTTGCTGGGCAACAGAGGATCTGAGCTCTCACTTGGTGACTCCGAGAAACTGAAGGTATGTTCCCCATGCTCTCAACAAAGGAGAAAGTGATGGCCTATTTGTCACTGACAGTTGAACTTACTAAACTATCTGCTCAGAGTCTGATGAGAGTAAATTGGAGGACAACTGAGGTGCTTTGCCAACAGGCAGACCTGGGATAGAACAGAAAGGACACCAGACTGAGAGGAAGTTGTTGTCACCCATTTCCAAGCAAAGCAAAGCCTCCCTGTGGCTCTAGCTCAAAGACACACAAGTACCAGAATAGGGTACTCAGCTTCGCTGGAAAGACAGGAAACCTTCTATTTCCACATTCTGTTCCATCCCCTCCATGTCCTGTGCCATAAAAGGAGATGGTGTCGCCCAAATCTGACCAATCAAATCTGCTGCCTGGTGGTGACCTGGAGCACAAAGGTTGTTGAGTTCTTGGTGGATACAGCACTGGAGCTCAGCTTATCAGGCCAAATGGCAATCCTGCCGACTATGCATTCCATCCCAGGTTGTGGCTCTATGTGGTTGAGCCGGACCAAAAAAGGCCTAGAACTCCAACAACTCCTGTGAGCCTCAACAAACGAACAATGCTCCTAAATTCTACCCAGGCTTCAGCTTCACTGCAGCTTCTAGTCCTTTCAGCCAGGGGCAGAGTTGGTTTGAAATAGACTGAGGAGTGAATTCTGCACGGGGAAGCCATGGAAGGAGGTGATGGCTCCGCAGGGGCAGGGGCGGTGATTCCACGTGCTCCCTGCAGCCAGTTGAAACCCTTGGCGCACGCTGGCTATGAGAATAGAACTTAAAGCCAATCGTGGCTAGAGACTATTTAATCATTTAGCTAAAAATGGTATTTTTTACATCCAATGCATGTGGTGAATCAGTGAAGAAAATACAAGTGGAAAAGCATGTATCTATGCAGAAACTGAATGCCTTTCTTGTATTGACTATTCATGTATCTATGCAGAAACTGAATGCCTTTCTAATATTGACTGTGGTAAAGATTTCTGGGGTGATGATTGTAAAAACCACTGAAATGCGTACGTGAAGATCGGAAGTATGGTGGCAAAGGCTATGAGGGTAAAACCTACAAAGGCGATGTTAAACAGCAAGCATGGATTCAGAACATTAATGAGTTAATAAAGATACCTAATGTCAGCCCCCAAATGAAAGAACTTTTAGAGCAAATTAGTGCTTTTGACAATGTTCCCAGGAAAAAAGGCAAAATTTCAGAATTGGATGAAGAACAGTTTAAAAGTTCATAATGAATCCATTCTGGAGCAGGTGTGGAATATCTTTTCTGAAGCTTCTGGCAGTGAGCTAGTCAGTAAGGGGCAAGATCAACAACCATTCAACCAAGATGCAGATGCACACGCAGAAGTCTCCACCAAGGCCTGCTCCTCCCCAGCAAACAACCCCATGGGAAAGCGAGCAGAAGTGAAGAAGAATAAAAGAGAGAGGAAGGAAGGACGGCAGAAGATTAGAAAAAAAGAAAAGAAAGAACTGAAGTTAGAAAACCACCAGGAAAATTCAAGGAGTCAGAAGCCGAAGAAGCGCAAAAAGGGACAGGAGGCTGGACTGGAAGCTGGTGGGCAAGAAGACTCTGAGGTCAATGTCTGGAGAGAAGAAGAGTGGGAAGAAGAGGAACAAGGCATGCCTGCAGGGGAAGGGGCAGCGGATGGAGGTAGGGGCTCCAGAGAGGACAGTGCCAAGGAAGAGCCGAAAACAACTAAAGGGTTAAGAAAGTGCAAGCTTTTAGAAGTTAAAACAGATACTAAGAAAAAAAGGATGAAGACCCTAGAACATTCTGAAGGTGGAGAACCAGAAGACCATGAAGCTTCTGCAAAAGGTAAATTCAACTGGAAGGGAAATATTAAAGCAGTTCTGAAACAGGCCCCAGACAATGAAATTGCCATCAAAAAGCTAAGGAAAAAGGTTTTAGCTCAGTACTACGCAGTGACAAATGAATACCACAGACCGGAGGAGGAACTTCTGGTCATCTTTAACAAGAAAATCGGCAAGAACCCTACTTTTAAGTTATTAAAGAACAAAGTCAAGCTTTTAAAATGACTATGACTATATTTAAAAATTGAATTCCTTCTGTTAACTTCATTTCACTGCTGTTTATAAAATGTGTAACAAATTATAACAATTCAAAGTATTGTTTTCAGCTGTATTTTTAAGTTAAGGAAAAAACATTTTTGGCAGAACTTTCCAGAAAAAAATAAAATATATTCTTGTCCAAAAAAAAAAAAAAAGAAAGAAAGAAAGAAAGAAAGAAATAGAGGAGGCTCTTAAGCAATTAACTTCAGGAAAACCTTAAGTTTTATTTTATATTTTACTTGAGAAGATGTAGCAGCCTTTGGATTGATTTCAAGTTGTAGTATAGCGGGTGTTGTTTTCATCCTCAGTTAGTTTCCATCAGGGTGGAAAGTATGATAACTTGTGGTTTGTGATGGGACAGGTAATAAATGTTAATCAATTTCTTTTCATCTTTGCATGGAGAAAAATGCCAGGAGGGAAAAGGAACAATCTCATTCTGCTCTGTATTTCATTCAACTGGTCCATTTATAATACAAATGGAGTTTTTAGAAAAGCTTACAAGGCCAGCAGGTGGTGTGGTGGTTAAAGTGCTGAACTCCCACATGGCTCACTGTGGTTTGAGTCCCAGACCTGGCAGTTTGCTTTCTCACTTTCCCACTCTCTCTCTCTTTATCTCTCTATGGTGAATTAAATTATTTATTTATTTATTTATTTATTTATTTATTTATTTATTTATTTATTCTTTTTGAAAAGGTTTTAAAAATAGGAGTGAAGGAGGAAAATAAATATCTAACTCTAAAGTAGAAAGCCAGCAACAGTGCCAAGGTCAGAACCAGAGACTTCATACTAAGCTCTGACAGTATAGGCTGAAGCTTTCTCTGCCTGGTCTATGCAAAGAAAAAAGAGGGTTAGCTTAGCAAATAACTAATATGAATAGCATTATCCTAGATATAGTATAATAACTATTATCTTACTTTATTGGAGATTGTTTGATAGCTTTAATTGTGTCAGTCCAGCAGGATTTGGGAGAGAGATCCACTCCTTCCTCAGTGATGGCTCATTAGAGAACATCTTAGAAAGGTGGGAAGTGACAGCAAGTAGAAGAGGTCTGGCTGTTCAGTGAGCTAAGAACATATCTGACTTGACAAGCCACCTGAGAGCTGAAGGAAGAACTTTTGGGCTGGTCCAGAGGAAGGCCCGGGTTTTGAATAGGAACAGACAGAAGTTCATGCTTCTGGTTCCTGACCAACTACATATTGCTGAGGGTCAAGGTGGTGCCCTTGAAACTACACAGTCCTTAGAGAAGCTGTGCGGTGTGGAAAGAGCACAAGCACAGGGTCCACAACCTGCATGTGAGTTCTGGCACTAACTGGCTCTGTGGCTTTCAGCTTCTCTGGACTTCAGTTTCTTCAGCTGTAAGGTAGGACGCACAGGATTCAGTGAAGATTACATGAAGTTCTAAATTGAAGGCCTTCAAAATCCCGGGAGGAGAATGGAGGAGAAGGATTTGCAGAGTGGACATCCTCTCAGGGATGTGTGTGGGGGTGTGTGATTTTTCATTTTCTGTCTCTATGGCGAGCACCCGCACCCTATAGCAAAAATCTCTCTTTAAAAAAAATGGGGAGACCAGCAGTTGGCGCAATGGCTACGTCGCTGGACTGCCATGTTGTCGACCGCAGTTCGAGTCCCAGACCCAGCTGCATGTGCGTGCATGCCCAAGATCCCGAGAGGAGAATGGAGAAGGGATTGTGGTGTGGCCATCCCCCCTGGGGGTGATTTCTTGCTTTCTGTTTCTCTGTTTCTTTCTGGTGAGCACACGCGCCCTATAGCAAAAACCTCTCAGAAAAAAAGAACATCTAACTTGTAGGTACTTGGAGGGAACAACATTGAAAATTACTAAAAGGTCTTTTGGTATTACTGATGAGATTCTTGAAACGGTCAGAGTGTAGAGGATGTCCCACATAAGTCCCAGCCAGGAGGAGGTTTTCGATAAAAAGAACAAGATGAACTGCCTCAAAGATGTCAGCCTTTTCCACAGTCAGGTTTGTGATGGGACAGGTAATAAATGTTAATCAATTTCTTTTCATCTTTGCATGGAGAAAAATGCCAGGAGGGAAAAGGAACAATCTCATTCTGCTCTGTATTTCATTCAACTGGTCCATTTATAATACAAATGGAGTTTTTAGAAAAGTTTACAAGGCCAGCAGGTGGTGTGGTGGTTAAAGTGCTGAACTCCCACATGGCTCACTGTGGTTTGAGTCCCAGACCTGGCAGTTTGCTTTCTCACTTTCCCACTCTCTCTCTCTTTATCTCTCTATGGTGAATTAAATTATTTATTTATTTATTTATTTATTTATTTATTTATTTATTTATTTATTTATTTATTTATTTATTTATTTATTTATTTATTTATTTATTTATTTATTTATTTATTTATTTATTTATTTATTTATTTATTTATTTATTCTTTTTGAAAAGGTTTTAAAAATAGGAGTGAAGGAGGAAAATAAATATCTAACTCTAAAGTAGAAAGCCAGCAACAGTGCCAAGGTCAGAACCAGAGACTTCATACTAAGCTCTGACAGTATAGGCTGAAGCTTTCTCTGCCTGGTCTATGCAAAGAAAAAAGAGGGTTAGCTTAGCAAATAACTAATATGAATAGCATTATCCTAGATATAGTATAATAACTATTATCTTACTTTATTGGAGATTGTTTGATAGCTTTAATTGTGTCAGTCCAGCAGGATTTGGGAGAGAGATCCACTCCTTCCTCAGTGATGGCTCATTAGAGAACATCTTAGAAAGGTGGGAAGTGACAGCAAGTAGAAGAGGTCTGGCTGTTCAGTGAGCTAAGAACATATCTGACTTGACAAGCCACCTGAGAGCTGAAGGAAGAACTTTTGGGCTGGTCCAGTAGAAGGCCCGGGTTTTGAATAGGAACAGACAGAAGTTCATGCTTCTGGTTCCTGACCAACTACATATTGCTGAGGGTCAAGGTGGTGCCCTTGACAGTACACAGTCCTTAGAGAAGCTGTGCGGTGTGGAAAGAGCACAAGCACAGGGTCCACAACCTGCATGTGAGTTCTGGCACTAACTGGCTCTGTGGCTTTCAGCTTCTCTGGACTTCAGTTTCTTCAGCTGTAAGGTAGGACGCACAGGATTCAGTGAAGATTACATGAAGTTCTAAATTGAAGGCCTTCAAAATCCCGGGAGGAGAATGGAGGAGAAGGATTTGCAGAGTGGACATCCTCTCAGGGATGTGTGTGGGGGTGTGTGATTTTTCATTTTCTGTCTCTATGGCGAGCACCCGCACCCTATAGCAAAAATCTCTCTTTAAAAAAAATGGGAAGACCAGCAGTTGGCGCAATGGCTACGTCGCTGGACTGCCATGTTGTCGACGGCAGTTCGAGTCCCAGACCCAGCTGCGTGTGCGTGCATGCCCAAGATCCCGAGAGGAGAATGGAGAAGGGATTGCGGTGTGGCCATCCCCCCTGGGGGTGATTTCTTGCTTTCTGTTTCTCTGTTTCTTTCTGGTGAGCACATGCGCCCTACAGCAAAAAAACTCTCAAAAAAAAAAAAAAAAAAAAAAAAAAAAAGAGGGCTTAGCTAGGGCCCTGTAACTCTGTTTCAGAGAAACATCTCTTTCCCCACTCTTGCCCCTCCCACCCCCAAATTTTCAGAGACAGGAAGAGATACTGCTAGTTTAGAACCTCAGATTGCAAACAAAACCACACCAAAAGGTAGACTTGCATTTAGATTTGATTAATGTAAACTAAGCAGGTCTTCGACAACAGCTTGGACGGTAAGACAGGCTGGATTGGGATCTAAAAGCAAGTGTCAAGTGACCAGAGGGGCAAAGAAGAACCAGCGAGAAGCTGGGTGACCTCTGAGAGAAGGTAAAGCCCAGTCAAGAGCCACTATTGGTAACAGCTTTTGCTGTGTTGTTATTACCATTTCCTGTCCCTTGCTGCTTTGTATTTTGCTTACCTTGGTTTTACAGTAAAATCACTCTTGAAAATAGTCAAGCCACTCATGGCTTTGTCAGGAAATATTTCCTAACCCCGATCATTATGTCAGGGGAACACTGTGTTTTGGTGACCAGATATGTTGCTGGCAGCTGAAAAGTAAACTCGGGGGTATGGTAAGGAGCAGGAAAATACAGTTAGGAGCTTCCCTAGGTAGATTTCTAATTCATAAACTACCAGAGTATATGACCTGATGGAATGTCGAAAGTAATCATGCTGCATTTGTCCTTAAGAGTCCATAATCCAGAGGCCGGCAGGTGGCGTGGTGGTTAGGGGAACTTGACTCCCACATGGCCGACTGTGATTCAAGTCCCGAACCTGGCAGCTTGCTTTCTCACTTTCCCTCTTTCTCTTGCATGCTCTCTCACTTTCTCATTCTGTCCCTCTCTGGTCAAATTAAAATAAATAAAGTTAAATAAAATAGTTCTTTTAAAAAAAAGTTACTTATCAAATTTATCTATTAAAAAAAAAGAGTTCTTAATCCAGACTTTTCATAAATTTGCATTGGCATTTTCTTCAACTATATCTTTATTACATTAGTCTTTTTCACCTAGTCTTTCTTTCCTCCCTCCTGCTCTCGCCCAGCAGAGTGGGAAACAGAGTATCTGGACTATGAACAGATATAGATGGAGGAATGTTGTAACCCTGGGCTAGTGGTCTGTGGCAATCCATTGCTGACCCTTAGGAAGCAAGGTCCACAGCGTGGATACGTATGCACAACCACGCGTGCACTCATACACACTCATACATTACCTGGCACGGTGGGTCTCCTGAAAATATAATAAGGAAGGTCCAAGTCCACAGTTGTATCAGCCCTGTATCATTTATCTAGTGGCCATCAGCTCTTCAGACTTCCACCATACCCATTCCCTTGTGAGACCCGTGGCCCAGGGGAACGCGAACATGTCAACAGAGATCAGTGCCTCCTTAACTGCAGCTTTTACTCTCCTTTAAGTACTTAACAGACTTGTCAGGGACACTGAAGTCCAGCAGACAGAAAGAGATGAGACCAGGTGGGACAGTGAGAACCCCCCTCCCACACCCACACACACACATACTCCTCCGGGTGGATGGCCACTATGCAATCTCTTCTCCTCTATTCTCTTCTTCCCCCCCCACACACACACACACATACTCCTCCAGGTGGATGGCCACTATGCAATCTCTTCTTCTTTATTCTCTTCCTGAGAATAGAATTTGGGGCACACATGCACATGTGCTCAGTGTGTTTCTCAAGCCACTTGGTCCAGGACTCAGTGCATACAGTCATGTGGGATCCAGCTGCCTTACTATCTGAGCCGCCTACTGGCCGCTAGACTCATTTTTTTATCCGCTGAACATTGAAGCTTGATAATTCCCAGGAGTAACCTGCCATCATTGTCTACTTGCTTCCAAGAGACTATTTCTGGAACTCTTTATAGGCCCCAGAATCCCAAAATGGAAACAATAAGCAACTTACCTTAAATCCTAATCAATCTGAAAAGCAAAGGCAATGAATACATGGATACCTTCTCTCTTTGGAATTCCTCTTTCCATCTGACCCCTGGAATGTTGCCTTTATCTTCAAGATCAGAGAGATGTTAATGACGTATTTTCTTTCAGATTCAAGCAATTCTAGAGCCACAGTTTGTCTTTTAGCTTCAAAAAGAAACCAAAGGGGGATTTTTGTTAGCCACTTCTCCGAATTCTATTAAATGATAGAAAGCAATGAAAGGATATTGAACGTTTTAATTAAAGGACACATCAGCAAGTTTTTGGAAGCTGGAAAGCAGAAGGGAGGCATGGTAACTTGTTAGCAGAATGACACAACACCTTGGTGTTCCCTTTGGCAGGCGAAAGGCTCAAGGATTGGAGACACCAGGCACTATGAAGAAATGGTTGAAAGTCTATGTAGGATGCAATTGAGCTCTCGGATCTTCACCTCCACGCCAGATGGCTTCCTCACTTCTGCCCCGTGGGAAGTAGGAAAAAAATGAAATTGGAGAAACTCTAGTCTCTATGAACAGGTAAAAATCAAGGAATGTTCTAACACTGGGGCTATGTGCTATTACAATACATTGCAGACCCCAGACTAAAGAACTCAGACGTAGAATAGGACAGAGCTGAGACACCAAAATGAAAGCTAAGGACTCAGAAGGCGAGATTCCCCTCAGTCCCCTTGCTTTGCAGGCCCCAGAAAAAAAACTTTTAAGTAGAAGAGGAGCCAGCAGATGGCATAGTGGTTATGTTGCTAGACTCCCACACGACTGCATACAGTTTGAGTCCTGTACCTGATAGCTTGAAACTCATGCTGGGTGCATGCCCATGTTTACCCAGGATTCTGGGAGGAGAATGGAGGAGAAGAGATTGTGGCATGGCCATTCCCCCATGGGGGATGATTTCTCACTTCCTTCTCACTGTCTCTGTCTCTTTCTCTGGAGAGCACACATGCCCTAAGGCAAAAAACTCAGAACAAAAGCTCTGGAGAGCACATATGCCCTAAGGCAAAAAACTCAGAACAAAAAAAAAGTAGAAGAAATAAAGTCAAGAAAATCTCCCTCTGCCCCCTGCCAAGAAATGAAAGAAAGAAGAAAGAAAGAAACAAAAAAGACATGTTGAAGAAAAAAAAGAGAAAAAGATAGTAATTGAGTACATCTATCCAGAAGACCCAATATCAAATTTCTTACTTTTCAGAGAAAAGAAAGAAAATGGATGAAAGAATATTATCAAATTAGTCATTGAAAAAGGGGAGTCAGGGGCTGGCCCTATGGCCTACTGGGTAAGGGTGTTAGATCCCACATGGCAGTCTGTGGTTCAAATCCTGGCCCTGGCAGCTTGAGAAACACGCCAGGCATGTGTGTATGTGTGCTCAATATCTTGACAGGGTGGAGAGATGGAAGAGAAAGGATTGCAAGTGACCACATCCCATTGCAGGTACTTTTTCCCATTCTCTGTCTCTCTCTGGAGAATGCACACACCCTCTGGCAGTTAAAATAAATAAAATAGGGTTAAACGCACAGGCTCCAAAGATAGACTAAGTTTGAATCCTTGCTCTACCATTTACTGTGTGATATTTGGTTAATCAATTTACCTTGTGCCTTGGTTTCTCCATCTTTAAAGTGGGGCTAATAACAGTGCCAGGAAGGAAGGAAGGAAGGAAGGAAGGAAGGAAGGAAGGAAGGAAGGAAGAGAAAGAAAAAGAGAACAAAAGGAAAGAGGAAATAAAGGAGAGGGAGAAAGGAAGGAGGGAGGCTGGCCAGATCCTGTAGCACTGATGTTTTGGTAGTAGATAATTGATAAAAGATTAATATATTAAAAATTCTACATCACAGGCTAAATAGTTCATAAAACTTGTCCTCTTACCCACCAACCCTATGCCTTTATTTTTCTTCGAAGCATTGTGTTACTTCAAAGCTTTTCATTACGGAAGATCATGAACACTCAGAATCAAGGTAGAGTCCCAACTGGCCATGTGACCACTAGTAAGTCCTTTCACCTCTATAGGCTTTTGTTGCTTCATGTGAGAAGGAAACCAGGGATTAGATGATTTCATGTGTCCATTAAGTCTAAACTGGCAGGGTCCTAGTCCTTAGGTTAAATGTTCAGCCATCAGTCCCACCTCATGACTTACCTGCTAAAGAGGTTTCACATAACACATTTTCCAAGGAGCTGTGTCTACCCTGACCAGCCTCCTTGAGTTTATCTGGGTGGTCCTTGGTGACATATTCCTCGCCCCACTCTTTACCCTCCTTAGGTTGTCGCCACACACCAGATGAGAGATGGCCCTTGGGCTGGATGTCAGCCGAGAGGCAAGACTTGAGGTTTTCTTCCGCTTCTGGAGTTGTTGGGTTCACTCCTGAAAAATAACACCTGCTATCAAGAGCTGACTTTTCCTAAAAACTACTTGTTACTAACTCCTAATATTACTCTAACTTGGTACAAGTATTCCTTGACAATTAAATACATGGATTAAGGGTTACAATTTCCTTAGCTGAGGCCAGCACGTGGCATGGTGATCAAGGCACTGGACTCCCACATGGTTGACCGTGGTTCAAGTCCTGAACCTGGCAACTCGTTTTCTCACTTCCTCTCTCTCTCTGGTGAGCGCATGTGCCCTATAGCAAATTTTTAAAAATACCGATAAATAAAATAACTAATTAAAAAAAAAATTTTCCCCAGGACCAGCAGATGGCATAATGGTTATGTTGCTGCACTCCCACATAGTTAACCACGGTTCAAATGCCAGACCCAGCAGCTTAAAACTCATGCCAGGCACATATGTATGTGCCCAATATCCGGAGAGGAGAATGAAAGAGAAGGAATTGTGGCATGGCCTCTCTGTCTCTATCTCTCCAGCACGTGTAAGTGTCCTATAGCAAAAGAACTCTCAGAAAAATATTTTTTCCCCATCATTACAAGAGGCCACCTCTCTGTTTCTGGTCTATACATCTCTGTACATAGTCTCTACTAAACAAAGAGTTCTTTCAAAGAAATTGGTCAAATACTATAACTAATTTGTAGTAACCTCTGTTGATTCCTCACATCTGCTTCCTTTAGGTGAGCACGACAGGTACCTGGAGCACTATGGGAAGGGAGTACAGACAGAGGAGGAGGAAGGGTGCTAGGCCCTTGACCCTGGTGATGGTATGCTGCAGAAGAAAGGAAGAAGTGAAGGAAGGAGGATGAAATAACGTCTAAAATTTGATGAATTGTCCAGCAGGTAATTAGCTCTTAAACTATGAAGTGTGTAATCCATGAAAAACATGTCTTGTGCTACATTCGCCTGTGAGTTTTAGGCAAACATTAATCCAGTAGTTACAGAAATGAGCCAGAAAGAACCAAACATACCGGTTTTGTCTGAAACTTCCCCAGTCCCTCCTTCTCCTTGTGTTTGAAAGAGTGGCTGACTACTCTAGCACTCATTTTAGGATTGTGGTAACCATCTGCTTTATCTTGCCTCGGTTCTTTTATGCTTGGTTTGGGACTGAGGGAGTAGAAGCAGGGAAAGTAGAAGAGGGAGGATTGGAATTGCTGGGAGAAAAGAAAACTAACAGAAAAGCCACTTACCAGGACCCATCATTCCCTTCACATTACTCTCTCCTACATGAACGGATCTGGACTCTTGGGCTGCAGAGAAAGGAAAGCACTCATTCAGCGCCAACCCCACGCACATGGACTAAGCACCTTCTGTGAGTTAGGCACTGGGGACAGACTCACAGATTTTATAGTTTCATTGGGGAGACAAGAACACGCGCGCACACACGCACGCACACACACACACACACACACACACACACATATATATATATATATATATATATATGGTGTGGCAAGTACTGTTTCCTTGCCTGTGAAAAGATACAAGCTGGGTATGTGGTGTACATTTGTGCCCCAAGCTACTCAGGGGCTGAGGCAGAATGATTGTGACTTCAAGGACAGTCTGGGCAATATAGCAAGACTTAGTCTTTAAAAAAATTCTTTTTAAAAAGATTGGTACTTCAGGGAACCAGCAGTTAGCGTAATGGCTATGTCGCTGGACTCCCACGTAGTCGACCACAGTTCATGTCCCGGACCCAGTGGCTTAAAACTCACGCCGGGCGCGTGTGCGTGCGTGCCCAAGATCCCGAGAGGAGAATGGAGGAGAAGGGCGTGC